ACAGGTAAGTCGGGTAGTGGAATTTAAAAACCAACGCTATGTATGGTGAACGAAGATTGCAATAAAAGTTTTCAATATTTTTTGAAAAATAAATAAAATGAAAAAATGTTTGTTGTGTTTTTAAAATCCGTCAGTATAAAAAAAACTTCATTTATTTTTCAAAGATATCGTATTATCAAGTTGAGTTGCAACATTTCTTCTTTTTAATTTGCTTATTCAGTTCATTTCTTTAATTTGTTTTAAGTAACGGACTCGTGTATAAATGTACTATTCTATCTTTCTCTCAATCTTATCATAAAGATAATTGGCAAAGACAGTGCCAGAACTCTTAAGAAAACCATGCACTGACATACTGTTTATATATTATATGACAACGAAACTGCTACATGTAAAAACTTTAGAGTGACACTGTACCTGTCATTCACTGTCAGTGCCTTACTATATATGGAGTTTTATGAAGAGACTTACTTTTAAAATCGACGGCTGACTTTTACATTTTAAAGAAACCGACTCCAAACACAAAAATATAGAACAGAAGATTTCTTTGTAAAACACATCCAAAGATACATGTATTTAATTAGTATTTGTGTTGTTTTCACTGGGATCTGTAAAGTTGTAGGGTTAATACTACAGTAAAATGCATACAAACATTAGGATAACTTAACATCGTAGATTTTAAATACGAGCTTGCTGAAATGCGCTTATGCGAGAATTTTCCAGGTCTAAGTTATTCGTGCATTTCTCAGCTTTTCGTTCTCTTCATTTAACAAAATTACATAAAAAATTCATTTTGAATTATCAATAAATTCATTTGAATGAAAAATCAAAACGAGTGGTACATTGCATATTTTTTATTCTGAATCACTGACCCCGAGAGCTCTCAAGAGCTTCGGGACCTTTTTAGTAATAAACTGATTATACGCCTCCTGGTTTTACAGGATTAGCTCCATAATTGGTCTCTTTTTGCCTCTCCCCTCTGGTCTACATTCCTCGGATGTAGAGGGATTTGTGGTTGAAGACGAAGGTTTGTCTTTCTGTGCTGATGAACAAAAGCTTGATGGTCCTACTGGTTTCTCGTCCTCACTATTGTCAGAAACATTTCTGAATAGGTCTTCCCTTTTATCTCTTTTGTTACATGTACCCTTAGTTGGTCCAGGATCTGCCATTAGACTATCTTCCTTTTTTAATTTTTCTGATTTCCTCCCTAAATATATAAAAAAAATTTTAATCATTTTTGCCGAATTAACACATTTGAAAAAAAAACAGTGTAATACATTAAGTTCATATTTATTATTGTATAAATACATATTTAATTACCCCCCTCCCCTCTTTGTAGAGATTCTCAGATGTTCCTCTCTGTACCATCTCATTTCTTTTGTCTTGGTGTTTATTTTCCTTGTTAAGCTTAAATAAATGATTTGCATATGCTGTGCCATATTCAAAATTTTATGAAAGCAATATTTCGTTACATGATTAGCAAAGGAGGGGGGAGGGGTTGGATGTGAAGTATAAAACAGTGCCAATACTTTTTTGTTTTATGTCAAAATTTAAACCGTACCTTATCAGGGTGTTTTTGATATTTTTCTCTTGTGCAGCCATCAATTTCGAAAATTTATTGGAAAGCCTATTTTTAAGCTGCATTTGTTCACCCTCCAGATACATCTTCCTTGCGTCAGCTGGAAGCAGATGGTTGTTCTCCTTCATACTATGAATTATCTTTGCCCAGAAGCATGGATGCACTTGGTAGGAGCGAAGCATCATCAGTACTTCATCATCTGACAGCTTAATATATTTTTTCTTTCTCTGAACAATGGTAATCACATTATCATCTATAATAACTTAAAACAAAAGTGAATTTGATTTTACTTTTGCCATATGAGCGCTGTTTTATCTTGAAAAGGAATAAATATAACAATTTCTAAATATAGTTTTAAGTAACCACGTGACAAAGTTAAGAAAGTGTATCGTTTTCTAAAAGGAGTGCTCGGTAAGTACTCGGCTTAAATCAATCATGCCATTTACTTATATCGTAAAATTAGTTCGCACTTTCAAAGCAATGAATATTTTACATCACCTTCAGATACTTCAGGCAATTCATCCACTTCACTGCTACTCATCTTCTAGCACGCTTTTAACAATACCGGTGTCAACTCAGGAATAAAAAGGCTTTCCCGAGCCCGTGCAGGATTTAAATAGAATCGAATGATGGATATCGTTCAATGTTACTGCCAAATTTCAATTCAATTACCAGATTTAACATATTCAAAATCAAATGAATGTGTAGATGAGAAAATATTCTTTACCTCAAATACATTAATGTGTATTCTAAAGTTGCACTTTGTATAGGGATTTCAAAGCATTGTTCGTTTAAAAAAGAGAAATGAGGTACAAATGTTTTCTATTAAAGGGAAGTCATTGTTCTGACAATAACTTTTTTTATTAATCATTGTTACTTGTAGAACAATACTAATGGACGAAAGTAGATTTCCCCTGGCTTTTCTTCCTGCATTGTTGAACCCCCCTCCAGACAACGATAATTTTTTTGCGTAAGATAATTCTCACTATCATGATGGCAGTCATACCCCCAGCAGACCCTTTACTAAATATACATCACCGTTTTGGTTTGGAGTCTGAAAACGTATGGAAAGGAAGGGATGTATTTCGACTTTTTTCAAGGAATAGGTTTGGGTTCCATGAATGCACTGGGGAGTCCCCCGAGACTTTGATTGATCTCTTGGTCATGATAAGTTGGGAAGAATCATATACAAGGCACAGTTCCCATCGACTTTCTCCAAAAATTAGGATTCTCTTATTTCTCATATGGTTGAGATGTTATCCGACATACCATGTACTATCAACATTATTTGATATCACTGTGGGGACTGTTAAAGACGAAATTCACTCACTTATACCATTGTTGTTTTGCGTATGTAAAACTTTTATTAAATGGCCAACGGTTCAAGAATGGCGCTCAAAAATAAACATATGGCCACAGATTCCTTTCACTGTAGGTGCTATCGATGGTACATCAATAAAAATTAACAAACCCGGAGCAGAACCCCAACAACTTATTTTTCTGGTCATCGTCACTTCCATGCCATTCATACCCAAGTGATTACAATTACGGAACAATTTGTTTTGTTGAGTGTGGATTTAAGGGTCGTCTAAATGATGCTCAACAGTATTCCCATCTTCCTGAAATAGGTTGACCAGAACTACCTTTTCCACATGAGTTTATTTTACTTGGGGATAAAATATATCCTAACCGTCACCCCATTGTTACCGCATTTACGGAACAACAAATAAACAGAAGGACCATTTTTGAAAGAAAAAGGTGTCGAAAAGTAAATCGAATCATTTCAACACATAGGTCTATTGTTGAACGATCGATTTGTAGATTAAAGAGTTATGAAATATTGAGTAGTGTTTGGAGGCAAAGAAGAAGACAACTTCGCCGAATTGTATTTATTGTTGCAGGGTTGGCTACAAGAAGAGAAAATTAACATTATTCTTCAATTATTGCCGTAATGTACAAAAGGCTGTATAAAAACTACCGGTTGGAATACACTTTTTCTTTTGATAAGATATTGAGCAATACGGGTTATCTAAAGAGTTTTATAATACAATGTTTAAAACGATAACCCTAAAATGGTTAGTATTTATTGCACTAAATATACACCATACTTCAAATATGGCCTTTTTTCACTTGTTTGGATATATGCTATCCCGTGCAATTAAAGAACTAAGCATTGAAATAAAGCAACAAAAAATAGTTCCTAAAGACAGAGGGTAATAATCCAACTTTTGTTTTCTTTTCTGATTTACTTTATAAGTATATAGCTATAGTGTGTTGAAATTCAACTTTAGTGTTTGGAGTTGGTCCCTGTGAATTGTAAAAGTCAGTCGTTGATTGTAAAGGTAAGTCTCTTCATAAAACTCCTATAGTGATGTATACTTACACAAGTTTATTAGCAAAACGTTTTTGAAATTTATAACAGTTATAAATGTTATCCGGTTATTTGGTGGGTGCATAGAAAATTTTCTTCTGTAATGCCACAGCAAGATATATCATTTTATATAACCAAGAATTCCAACAAATTGTAAGAAGGTTTGAAAAAAATGAATACCAATATAGTCTTCGTATTTGGTAATGTTCAATATTACAACTGCATATTAGAGGAACATAATTTTATTTAGTTCCATTTTATAAGTGGTGATAAAACCTACCGGTACTCATGGATCCCCATTCTAAGGAAGAGATTCTTCAAAATCACAAGTCAATTTTAAATAATCTGAAATCCCCAGCAATCAAATTTAATTGATTCCCGAACTTCCTCAACGCGTTTTTTTTTTTCATCAAAATAAACTTAGTATTTAAAAAATATATATTTTAGAGGGAAATTGATAGAATTAAATCAGCAAAAAAATTCAAAATTAATTGAAAGACAAACTGATGCACATCTATTCACACCTCTAATATTGACGCACATTCTGCAAACTGTCCTAGCTAGCTGCCGATAATAAGAAAGTGCATTTCCTATGACATAAGTTAACATGGAGTTCACTATGAATATGAAATATACTGCAACACAGGACTTCAGTTTATACAGTATCACCAGTAGGACCGGTCTCCATGTCTAACAGTGGGATTCGAACTTCGAATTTATCAAATCCTTACTCCGCAACTCGAGGGTGGAACGCATGAGTAAATGGCATTATACATGACAAGAAAAGACAGAAAGATTATAAATTACTACTGGTGTCATGCGCAATGCATTTTCTAAACATAATATCTTTAACAAACTTTAAGTTTCAGGTTTCTCAATAGACGTATATTAATCATAAAAATTTTCATTTATAGAACCTTTGTTATATATAAATTTATATAATCATGACAAAATTCCTTTTTTAGAACTTGTTATTTTAATCAATTTTGGAAGGGGGTTCTTGTTATAAATGTTAACACTCTTCTTACACTTACTAGTATTTCCTTAGTACGATCATGAAGATTGCACGACATTATGTGTGTGTCTTAGAAGAATTCCGGTGAAGGTTGACTGAATGTTTCCCACGGCAGGACCCCCGCCAAGGACCTGCTCACTAGATCCATAAATCTGAATCCAAATGTGGTCATCTTTGTTCACGTTTATGATCACCATCGCTGAACTAGAGTCTTCTCCTCCTGGGTAAGGGATATAATTTGAAGCACGAGATGTACCTCCTACAATCAACTGGGTATAAAAAGCACTGCTTCCTGTAGCTATGGTCCAATGGAACATGTAGATGCCTGACGTAGGAGCAATGAAGATTCCGTCTTCTGTATGGTAATGGTTTCCTATGTTGATGTACGTCTGATCAAATCTTATGATTGTCCGAGTACTAATACTGCCTGTAGATGAGGATTTGTATGCAGAAAACAGGACAGGATCTGACTGATCGGCCAGGACACCTACAAAAGAAATGAAATTTCACAGAATTTATGTTTTGAAAATGCAGTGGATTTATTATTGCTACACACAAACCAATTTTGTTGGCAGTCTATGTTATTGAATTAATTTTATTTTATTATGATAAAGGAAATATATTTATGTTTTCTAAATATTTTCTTGTTTGGAAAAACAGACCACTATATAGTTTATCTCACCATATCTAAGGTATAAAACATCCAGGGATGACACATTGGCATCACTTCTCCCTGTCAGTAGCTGTCCTAACACACTCTCTGTGACGTTCAGTCGTTGTTCTGTCGTCTGCTCCAGTCTAGATAGACGTTCCTCGAGACTGGTCAAATTCCGGCCTTTTAGGAGGGTGGTCAGTTCAGCCGTTGAGACTATGGCAAAGAGGAGGGGCAAACGATAGAGGAGCACCTTTGGGGGTTTATTGTTGGAGCTATATATTTTTTTTTACGTTTTCCTTTAGTGTCGCTACGCACTTCTATGCTAGAATATTAAATTTTTAAACAGTGAGCACTTTTATAGGTATTTACATTTTAGCTCACCTCTTCACTCAGCATCTTTAACTGCTCTGCCAAGTAGTACCTCATTTTCGAAAGGGGGTTGCAGAAATCTCGTGTTTGCCGTTGGGGGAGGGGGCGGTAATTTTCAACTATTTTCAAAACCAAGTTTCATTTATACATCTATGCAACAAAAAGGGGGAGGGGTAGCCAGCTTTTTAATGATGTTTAACAATTAAAAAAGGTTGTGACTGGAAGAAATTATGGAGGCACCTGTCCCCGATACCATGCCTCTGCTGCTGATTTACATATTTATGTATACTTGTCTCAAAATGGTTGATTTGATTTCGATCAAATTAAATCATTACACAATTCTACATTTTATGCTTGTATTTTGGCCAATTTAATATATTTTTTCAGTTCTCCGTCTTATTTATTTGAAATTTTAGCACGTATCTTAATAATATTCTACAAAAGGGACATTTTCAATTTAAGGTACTAGCCCAGTAAATATATTAACTATTTTAAACCACTTTCTGAGAATTAAAACATTAAACTATCAGCCTCCCCCTTTTTGTTGCTTGTAAATTTTCTGTACTTACATTAACATTAATGATTCCGTTCATACAGGTCACTAAAATAGGCCAACGTGTTATAAAAATGTCGTTTACTAATTGATAATTTACCTAAGTACATGTCAAAATTATTACTGTCATATACAGCACTAGTATTTCAATTAATCAAGTTTTTCTTTTCTCTTTAGCTTAGGAAGGTTTTCACCTACATGTAATTAAACATGCTCCATCGAATCCTGGGAATTATTTGTAATTATATTGCTCACTTCAAATTCTGGAGAGAAACTTCCTTTGAGTGGAGGTATTGTGGGGTTCATTTCATTTCTCGGCCTTAATATTGATAATTGAAAGACAGAATATCAACATCATTCAAGTCTTTTTTTATTCCCATCAAAAAAAATAAATAAATAAATGAAAGACAAATGTCGACAAACTTTGAAAATAAACTTTTCAAAATAATGGAGCGAAGACTTACTTATATTGAAAAATTGTGTTATACTATGAGTATACCATTAAACTACCATTTAATGGTCTTTTTATTCTCTTTTAACAGTGTGTGTAACTATGATATTCCAAAGGCAAATAATTTCAATCTGAGATTTTTGCAAATTCTAAAGAATTTACTTAAAGTACACTTTAATGTTAGATGAAGTATTAAAGAAAATTTGTTTTAAGTACGATTTTATGAATTAATTTTTCACTTTTAATTTTGTCCCACTATAGATATTCTGCACGCTTTGTTCGCACATCTTCTCTCATGAAGAGAATTACCTAGATACTAGTTCCTAAGGACAATGGTATTGATGTTTCGTAATGTTCAATATTGCTATCGCATTGTAGAGGAACTTAATTTGATTTAGTTCTATTTATGAGTGGAGATAAAACCTACTCGTGGTTCCCTTTCTAAGGAAGAGATTCTTCAAAATCACAAGTCAGATTTAAATAATTCTGATATCCCCAGTAATCAAATACCTAAATTTAATTAAATCCTGAACTTCAAAAAATCTTTTAGGAGGTACACAGCGGGATCTAGCAAAGTTTAACTCAGTAAACTCAGTATAAAAATATTTTAGAAGAAAATGACAGAATTAAGTTCAGCACAAATCTTGAAAATTGAGTGAAAGACAAATAGATCCACATCAAATCACACCTCTAATCTTGACGAACATTCTTCAAACTGGCCTGTCTATAATACGAAAGTGCAATTCCTATAACAGTTCTTATGCCATCAATTTACAAGGAGTTCATCATAACTTATATAAGGAAACTAATCAAGCTAAATTCTTCAAACCAACAAAAATTTTGATAATATACGCATAACCATTTGTTTGTTTGTTTGTTGAACTCCCTCTCGAGAATTTTTCACTCATATGGAGACGCCACCACTTGCCGATGGAGGGCTGCAAATACTGTGCCGGTGGAGGGTTGTACCACTAGTATACTTGTGGCCATTGAGCTGCGAGGGATCTTTTTGGACCAACACCCTCTGCGACACAGGACCTCGGTTTATAAATACGGTCTCATCAGAAAGACTTTTCCCCACTCCCCGCAGTGGATTCGAACCCGCGACATAAGAATCAACTTATTCCGCGACTCTAGAGCATCTAGCGCATGAGTAAACAAATGATATCATGATATACATGTATTGATACGGCAAGAAAAGACAGAAAGATTAAAAAATCAAAAATGCATTTTATAACATAAAATATTCTAAATTTTAGTTTCAGATTTTAAATTGGTAGAAGTATATGAAATCATCAATAGTTTCTTATTTATACAAACTTTATTATAAATGTATATAATCATGACAGTTATTCCGTTATTATTCCGTTATCTCAGAAATTTATTCTTCATTAATTTTGGAAGGAGCTTCGTGATTAAATTGGTACTCTTATATTTATTTTCTATTTCCTTTCGTCTAATGCAGGATAATGCTTCTTTAGTAAGATTACACGACATTATGTGTGTCTTAAAAAAATTCCAGTGAAGGTTGACTGGATGCCTCCCTCGCCATTAATCCTGCCATAGACATGCTCACCAGATCCATAAATCTGAATCAAGACGTGGTCATCTTTGTTCACATTTATGATCATCATCGCTGAACTGGAGTCTGGTCCTCCTGGACGAGGGACATAACTTGAAGTGCGAGATGTACCTCCTACAATCAGCTGAGTATAAAAGTCAGTGCTTCCTGTAGCTATGGTCAAATGGAACATGTAGATGCCTGTCTGAGGAGCAATAAAGATTCCGCCCTCTGTGTGATAATGGTTTCCGATGTTGATGTACGTCTGTTCAAATCTTATGATTGTCCGGGTACTGATACCGCTAGTACCTGAGGATTTGTGTGCAAAAAAAGCACAGGCTTTTCATCTACATGTAATTAAACATGCTCCATCGAATCCTGGGAATTATTTGTAATTATATTGCTCACTTCAAATTCTGGAGAGAAACTTCCTTTGAGTGGAGTTAGTGTGGGGTTCATTTCATTTCTCGGCCTTAATATTGATAATTGAAAGACAGAATATCAACATCATTCAAGTCTTTTTTATTCCCATCAAAAAAAAAATAAATAAATAAATGAAAGACAAATGTCGACAAACTCTCTAGATAAACTTTCCAAAATAATGGAGCGAAGACTCACATATACTATAAAATTATGTTTTACTATGAGAAAATGGTCATTTTTATCCTCTTTTAATAGTGTGTGAAACTATGCTTTTTCAAAGGCAAATAATTTCAATCTTTAATTGTAAGGTTTGTGCAAGTTCTGAAGATTTTACTTAAAGTACACTTTAATGTTAGATGAAGTATTAAAGAAAATTTGTTTTAAGTAAGATTTTATGAATTAATTTTTCACTTTTAATTTTGTCGCACTCTAGACATTCTGCACGCCTTGTTCGCACATCTTCTCTCATATTAAGAATTAATTAGATACTAGTCCTAAAGGACAATGGTCTTGATGTTTCGTAATGTTCAATATTGCTATCGCATATTTATGAGAGTGGAGATAAAACATCTACTCGTGGTTCCTTTTCTAAGGAAGAGATTCTTCAAAATCACAAGTCAGTTATAAATAATTTCGATATCCACAGCAATAAAATACCTAAATTCTTTAACTCTGAAAACTCAGTTTAAAAATATTTTAGAAGAAAATGACAGAATTAAGTTCAGCACAAATCTTAAAAATTGAGTGAAAGACAAATGGATCCACATCAAATCACATGTCTAATCTTGACGCGCATTCTTCAAACTGGCCTGCCTACATAGGCGTCAGAAGCAAATTGAAAGTGAGGGGGGGGGGGGTTAAACCAACTAAACAGGTAAACTTCAATTTTCAACGCCTATATTATGTATATATTCGCAAAAAAGTCTATATTATGTATATATTTGCAAAAAAGCACCCCTCCCCCCAGTTCCGACGCCTATGACCTATACATGTAATAAGAAAGTTCAATTCCTATGACAGTTCTTATGCCATCAATTTACAAGGAGTTCACTATAATATATCTAAGGAAACTAATCAAGCTATATTCTTCAATCCAACAAAAATTTTGATAGTACGAATAAGCGTTTGTTTGTTTGTTTGTTTAACTCCCTCTCGAGAATTTTTCACTCATATGGAGACGCCACCACTTGCCGGTGGAGGGCTGCAAATACTGTGCCGTTGTAATGACGAAAAGTGACCCCTGTAGAATATTGACCAGGGGGTCATTTTTCTACGTAGAAAAATGACCCAGGGTCAATATTCTACGACAAATGGGGTCATTTTTCGACCGTAGAAAACCTTTACAGACCAGTAATTCTACGACTACACACACGTTGAAAAATGACCCCCATAGAAATTTGACCCCCTCAATTTTTATAAAATGAAACTTTATATCTGTGTCTCCTGAGATTTTTTATACTTTCAAATGTAAGGAGGAGAAATGTACTTTACTCCTTTCAACATATTTGATAGCATAACTTCAAAATAGCATCGTAATCGATGTATCTGGTATGGAGGGTTTTTTGCTTGCATAATCTCAATGAATAATACTATTAATATATTGAAGAGAACAAATTTATGACTATATTTTGCGTGTTTTTTTCTAATTCAAAGATTTTGTTCCTGAATTGGTATGATGCGTATATTTGTGATATCCATAAGCTTGTATGAAGGCCTCCGAAATTAGCACTTTTAATCATTTGAATTCAATTTTGAAATGTTTACAAAACCAAAAAAGATCGTATAGAAGTTAGAAAAGCAACGTAATTTCACTATATAAATTCAATTCCCCTAGTTCTTACATTTAACTTACATATGATTGAATGCATTCTGCTTTAAAATGCATACTTTTTAACTATATACGGGAAACCGAGATATCGAGAACGTTTTGATAATGATACATATGTACAGTGTATAGAAAAATTCCCCCAAAGCGGGCAAATATTCCCATCTGATTAAATAATAGTTCAACTTTCACAGATATCTTTAAATTCGTTAAAAAAACTTCCTTTTTCAACACTTTTAGCCCA